AGCCCGAAACATTGACTTGCCTGCTCCTCGGATGCTGTCTGACCTGCTGTGCTTTTCCAGCCTCATGTCTATAGACTCTGGCTTCCAGCATCTGCAATCCTCATTGTCTCCTAGGCTACTTTTTAACTGACTTTGGCCTCACACTTACCTGGGTCCCTTGCTAAGCTCACAGCCACTTGGCTGTCTGTTTAGCACGCAGTTCCATGCTGCAGTCATGGACATGGGCAGGTGGGTGAAGTTTGTATGTTGCCTGCCTAAAGTTGATAAGGAATGGGGTAAATACAAACTATAATCCCAGTGCCGGTGAGTTATCCACATTGGACTTATAGCCCATGGTCTCTCACTTCCTCTGGCTTTTCCTGGTGCTTTCTCCATTTCTCTGATGATCTTTTGTACTTTCAATAATGTACTTTTACTTCAGTTATTACTCCCAACATGACACGTAATGGAGTGAGGGTCACAGAACTGATGAGGATGTATTAAACAAACCTAAGGTGCTGTTAAATCTTTAATCAGTTAGAAGGTTTTAATTGATTAATATGTATATGTAAATCCCCAAATTCCTTTGAAGTCACTGTCCTGAGAGAACTAAAGGTTTTATCAGTGTAAAGAAGCGGTGACATTTTAGGTCAGACAATGCATGTTAGGTGTGAGGCTTTGTTTAGAATCTGGTTGTGTTTTGGTTTGGAGTCAGACTGGTTTTATTTCTAAAGTAGGAATGTATAAAACACCACATTGACTGCCTGACTATAAATGGTGTGCTTTTTGAACAAAATAGAATGTATCTGCAAGTGCAACATAGCTACCTATTTAAGTAGACTCATATATATAAATATAATATAAAATTATATATGTGAGTCAAAGAGGAACTGTAGTTATCCATATATATATGGATATTGTCAATATCCATAAACAGTAGCAATAATATAACAGCTTATTAAAGTACTTTAATTACTAGTATCATTATTTCCAATAAGTCCAATAAATTTGTGTTGAAAATCCAGGTGTATGTGGGCCACCAGGACCTCCAGGTCAAAGAGGACCATCTTGTGATGTAATGTCAACTGGACCGCCAGGAGATGAAGGACCACCAGGTTTTGATGGCCCACCAGGTATAACAGCTTTTGCCAAATCAGTAACCATAAAGACACCTAAATGAAAGCATTCATGTAAAATTAATTTTACTAACCATTCAGCCAACTGCTTCTAGAAGAGTGGGGGCAATTTTAACCCACCCTATCAGGAAACTGATGGGGTGAAATTAACGGCCTCCTGCTGGCATAACTGAATGTGAGGTGAGTTGGGGGGTGGGTCAGATAAGATAGATGGGTGGCTCATTTGCCAACTTTCCCCCAAGGCAGAACCCGTTTATGGTCCTTACCCAACTCCCACCTTGTCTCTCTTCCCTTCTTGCCGGAGGGAGGTGGGTGGCGGAATGGGGTGGGGTAGAGCTTCCCAGCCATTTCTGCCCAAAACCCCTGACTTACCCAGGTCTATTAGGCACCTTCTCCTCTCCTGGGACTTGCTGAAAGTGACAACCATGGGCACTATTCTCTTCTGCCTTTGATGAAACTACAGAGCTGGTAGCAGGTAGCTGCCCAGGCTTCGAACCAAATGCTTCTTTCTGGTCTGGAACTTTAAAACTAAAACTCTTACCCATGAGGTAGTCTATTTTCTTACTTTTCTGAACTAACCCCTCACCCATCCAATTTCGACCGGACCTCTGCAAACTGAAACTAAAAGCTTTAAGCTATGGGTTTTTCCCTAAGTAAAGAAATCCAATTCCTGATCCTTCTAACTAAAACAAGCTAGTGCTCTTCGATGTTTCCTCTGTCTACTTGGAAAACCCTCCCAATGCAAACAAATTGCTATTACCATGCCAGGAAGTCTCTCTTTCTTTCATACTAGTTTAAAAAATAACACGGTTTCAGAAATCCTGACACGTTACTTATTAAACCCCAATAATTTGAAATCCAAACTCTAAAGTAAAGCTCTAGTTCGTTCTGCCAATGACTTTAAATCAGTGTCTTTCTCGCTTCCAACCCTTCAGCTGCTGTCCTGAAGTTCCTCCCAAGGATCTCCACTGTCTTCATCTCCCTGGTGAAGTTCTACGTTGAACATCAGCCTTGCTGAAATCGTCGGCACTTTCTGCCTCCTTGTCACTCCTGCGCAGATTCTCGCATCTCTGACCATTCCTCCTCTTGAAGAGATTCTTTCATTGTGCCCTCAAAATCCCACATGAGCCACCTGTTACAGTGGTCTGACAGTCTGTACAGTTCCTCAAACTGTTTGATACTTTACTGACTGCTCTTTCAGCATGTTTCCAAATATCAGCAGTCCGTTATCAACTTATAAATGTTTCAATTATCGATTCCCATTCCTGCTCCCCCATACAAGTTGGTGTGGAGCTGGAGGAACACAGCAGGTCAGGCAGCATCAGGGGAGCAGGAAAGCTGATGTTTCGGTTTGGGACCTTTCTTCAGAAATTTCTTCAGATTTTCTGAAGAAGGGTCCCAATCTGAAACGTCGATTCTCCTTCTCCTCTGATGCTGCCTGACCTTCTGTGTTCCTCCAGCTCCACACTGTATTGACATACAAGTTGCACTTGGCAACACAAATGGATATTTTTAAAGGCTAATTCCCCTACCCAACCAACAAGTGTTAGAGGGATGTGGATATTTGAAATCCCTGTTCAATGCTGTGGGTTCAGAGAAAGTGTGTTTATCTTTACCTACTGGTGTCAGTGAGTGTGAACTGTACACTTCATGTTGTTGTACAGCATTACTGCATGAGCAGTGACAAAACAGTGAGATCAGGAGAAGGTGTTTTGCTTCAATAGACAGAATGAGATTACGGTTCTATTCTTGTAAAATATATATGGTGGATCCTATTTTAATGTCTTACATGAGATCAATGTGGTTTACGTTGTCTTCATTATCAGATTACGTTCCTAGTCTTTTATGTATGTTCATTCACCTTGCCCTTTTTTCTGTAGGTCCTTCTGGTTTCTCCGGTGACCCTGGGCTGCCTTGCTTACCATTTGCAGGGGATCCTGGAGATTTGGGCCGATCAGGTCAAACTGGTGTTCAAGGCCCACCTGGAGAGCAGGGCCCATGTGGCCAACATGGTCTTCCAGGGCCACCAGGTCCACAAGGTATTTTCAAAACATAAGGTTAAGGAAACATGATCGATGTTTCAGTGATATGTTGGTCTGGGACTGTGCCATAAGTGTCAAACCCTGCAGTGCTGACTCCCATTAAAATGTAAATAGTTGCAGAAACAGAAACTTCCAAACAATAAATTCCCACTTTGATGAATAGATTCTGGACATTGATTGCAATTGTAATAAGACATTATTTAAGAATTTTTCTCCCCACAGAAACATAGATACTTACAACATACAAGACTGGGGCTGTTTTTAATTCAGATTTAGATTTATTTAATTGTCACATGTACTAAGTATAGGAATACATAAGGACAGTGAAAAGTGCACAAAGCCACCATTCACTGGTGCCCACTTGGTTACAAAAACCAGAATTAAAAGATTTTAACAGAGCCAAAAGGTAAGCAAGAGAAGTAGCCCAGATCTTAGAGTTCCCCAGCCCCATCTCCACAACAGTGCAGGTACTGCTCTGATCGCTAGGGCACCCAGGAGGCTGCCGCTGCCGCCATGTGAAAGGCCCATTCTCACCATCACTGTCACTGCCTCACTGTCATCGCCTCACCGGCCTGCTCTCACCATCACTGCCTCACCATCCTCGCGCACACCGTCACTGTCTCACCATTCCCGCTCTCACCGTCCCCCCCTCACCATCACTGCCGCACCGTCCCCGTTCTCACCGTCACTGCCTCACCGTCCCCGCTCTCACCATCACTGCCTCACCGTCCCCGCTCTCACTGTCACTGTCTCACCGTCCGCACTCTCACCATCATTGCCTCACCGTCCCCACTCTCACCGTCACTGCCTCACCGTCCCCACTCTCACCGTCACTGCCTCACCGGCCCTGTTCTCACCGTCACCGCCTCACCGGCCCCGCTCTCACTGTCACTGCCTCACCGGTCCGATCTCACCTCCACCGCCTCACCGGTCCGATCTCACTGCCACTGCCTCACCGGCCCACTCTCATTGCTACCGCCTCACTGGCCCCGCTCTCACCACCGTCACCGCGCTCACCGCTCTCACCGTCACTGCCGCTGCGGCCCACTCCTGATCCGCTGTCGCTGCAGGACACAGCTCGCACATTGAGCTCCTGCCTCACGGCTCCCAGTCGCGACCCGACTTCTTCCCAACAATGTGCGTAGGTAGTTAAAAGGATGGGGCATGGGGGAGATAGAATTACAGCAGAGAGGAGAGAGAAGAAGAAGAGACAAAGAAAGGGAAAGGAAAGGGAGCTGACGAGTGGAGAGGAGCTCTGAATGGAGCAACTTATCCTGCTGCCATCTTACCGGAAGAGGATCACATTTTCCTTAGAGCAGAGGAGACTGAGAGGGAACGTGATAGAAATGTATAAAATTGAGGGGCATAGATAGTGTATACAGGAAGAAACACAATTAAAATTTCTTTTTAGCTATTTCTGCTTCTGTGATGATCGATCCATTAGCTCGAGCGTTTTCTCCATAGCTGTAAAAAAGTACTTACAAATATCTCCTATTTCTTTCATTCTTTATAATCAGACATTATCCTTTATGTAATAATTTCTTGTTACTTGATGTTCCTGATTACAATGAGGTTCACTGCTTGCTGACATATCACACTGTATGCATATCATGAACCTTCCCCAGTGCTATCAAACATCCCTATTTTAGGTGGTTGCTGTGAACCCCAACTGACGTCACTCACTTGTGGGAATCAAATTCCAGTCACCGACCTGACACAAATGCTAATAATGATCTAACCATCCTGTCTAACTGTATTTGAAGGCTGAATACCCTTGACTCTGAATTCTCCTCCAACCTTTCACACCTTGCTAGCCTCTCTCAGTTCAAACGTTCTTTATAAATATTGAAATGATTGCACTATATTTCTTATTCCTAATATTGCAGTCACCGTTCCCCGTTTTTGTTTATTATGAAGGTACAATGGGTGATCAGGGCTTTCCTGGGTTCCCTGGGCTTGATGGACCACCAGGAGTTCCAGGTGATCAAGGTGAACGTGGCTGTGTCGGTGCACCAGGACCTCAAGGTCAGCTACCATTTAATCACCTTCTCAAGTGATAGAAATTTATTAGAATAATGTGACAGTAATTCCATAAAACTCCTCTGACATTACAATCAATATTTATTTGAAATTGCTGGTGTAAAGCTGGAGATTCTGTAAGTTCTCACAAAGTTTCTCCAATGCAATAAATAAAATATTGACCTAGAATAAGTAGCTTCCGTGACTGGTCCCAAGTTCTATACGTAATCTATCATTTTCCCTCTGTTGTATTTGCTATATCATCAGAAATGAAATTCCTATTTAATAATGTCAAAAGGATTCATTTAAAACCAGCACAGTTTACGTTCCTGATGTGTGCCTCAGAGAAAACGAGTGTTGGTAGATAATCTATTACAGTAAAGTAGTCACAAGAGAGTTATTTGAAATCATAAGCTTTCGGAACAGTTCAGTGGACAGGGACATTTAGCTTCTGATCTTCACATAAACGTCCTCCAACGTGGCCTTCGAGTTACACAACACAAAATCGCCGAGCAGAAACTGATGGCCAAGTTCTGCACCCATGAAAACACCCTTAATCATGATCTTGGGTTCATGTTATGCTACATGTGACCCCACCATACTGTTCTGTGTCTGTAACATTTTCCTTACTGTCCTGTTTTAACACCATCACATTGATAACTTGTTATGAGCTCTCTACCTGAATTAGTTTGTACAGTTTTGGATTACTTCTGGTTAGACCCTCGACATGTGACTGTTATATCCATCATGTTATTCCAGTCATTTGGTTTGTTTCCAGCACCACCTTATTTTTAATTTTTTGTAATTATATCTCTGCCTCGGATTATAGTTCGTCCCTTCACTTGTTATTCCGCTGTGGACACTTTACTCACACCATGTGACACTCTTGGTCACCTGCAGAGACCTATTATTCAGCCTGTCCACACTCCACTCACCATTTGTATGATCTTTTCATCTCTCTGATTATAATTCTGTGGCTGTATGTCTTCTCACTCCACCTGACGAAGGGGCAGCGCTTCGAAAGCTTGTAATTTGAAATAAACCTGTTGGGTAGGTGATGGCCTAGTGGTATTATCACTAGACTATTAATCCAGAAACCCAGCTGATGGTCTGAGGACCCAGTTCGAATCCTGTCACGGCAGATAATAGAATTTGAATTTAAAAAAAAAAAGTCTGGAATTAAGAATCGACTGATCACTTGATTGTCAGAACAGCCCATCTGGTTAACTAATGCCCTTCAGGGAAGGAAATCTACCATCCTCACCTGGCCTGGCCTACATGTGACTCCAGACCCACAGCAATATGGATGACTCTCAACTGCCCTCTGAAATGGCCTAGCAAGCCATTCAGTTGTACCAATCGCTACAAAGTCTCAAAGAAATGAAACTGGACGGATCACCTGGCATCAAACTAGGCACTGGAAAAGGCAATGGCAGAAACAGCCCTGTCAACCCTGCAAAGTCCTCCTCACTAACATCTGGGGGTTAGGGCCAAAATTGGGAGAGCTGTCTCACAGACTAGTCAAGCAACAGCCTGACACAGTCATGCTCATAGAATCATATCTTACAGACAATGTCCCAGACACCACCATCACCTTCCCTGGATATGTCCTGTCCCATTGGCAGGCAGACCCAGCAGAGGGGGCGGCACAGTGGGTTACAGTCGGGAGGGAGTTGCTCTGGGAGTCCTCATCATTGACTCTGTATCCCATGAAGTCTCATAGCTTCAGGTTAAACACGGGCAAGGAAATCCCCGGCTGATTACCACGTACCGTCCTTCCTCAGCTGATGAATCAGTACTCCTCAATGTTGAACAACACTTAGAGGAAGCACTGAGGATGGTAAGGGTACAAAATGTACTTTGGGTGGGGGGTTTCAATGCCCACCACCAAGAGTGGTTCGGCAGCAGTACGACTGATCGAGCTGGTTGGGGCCTAAAGGACACAGCTGCTAGACTGGGTCTGCGGCAGGTGGTGAGGGAACCAACAAGAGGGAAAAACATACCTGACCTTATCCTTACCAATCTGCCAGCTGCAGTTGCATCTGTCCATGACAGTATCGGTAAGAGTGACCATCGCACAGTCCTTGTGGAGACGAAGTCCCACCTTCCCATTGAGAACAACTTCCATTGTGTTGTGTGGCACTATCACCGTGCTAAATGGGACAGACTTCACACAGATTGAGCAACTGAAGACTGGGCATCCATGAGGTGCTGTGGGCCATCAACAGCAGCAGAATTATACTCCAGTACAATCTGTAACCTCATGGCCCGGCATATCCCCAACTCAACCATTACCATCAAGCCAGGGGATCAACCCTGGTTCAATAGAGAGTGCAGGAGGGCATGCCAGGAGCAGCATCAGGCATACCTGAAGATGAGGTATCAACCTGGTGAAGCCACCAAACAGGACTACTTGCACACCAAACAGCAAAAGCAGCAAGTGATAGACAGAGCTAAGCGATCCCACAACCAATGGATCAGATCTAAGCTCTGCAGTCCTGACACATCCAGTTGTGAATTGTGGTGGACAATTAAGTAACTCACTGGAGGAGGAGGCTCCACAAATATCCCCATCCTCAATGATGGAAGGGCCCAGCACATCAGTGCAAAAGGTAAGGCTGAAGCATTCGCAGCAATCTTCAGCGAGAAGGGCCGAATGGATGATCCATCTCGGCCTCCTCCAGTGGTCCCCAGCATTACAGATAGCGGTCTTCAGCCAATTCAATTCACTCCACGTGATATGAAGAAACGGTTGGAGACACTGGATACTGCAAAGGCTACAGGCCCTGACAACATCCCAGCAATAGTACTGAGGACTTGTTCTCCAGAACTTGCTGCTCCCCTGGCCAAGCTGTTCCAGTACAGTTACAACACTGGTATCTACCCAACAATGTGGAATATTGCCCAAGTATGTCCTGTACACAAAAAGCAGGACAAATCCAACCCGACCAATTCCCGCCCCATCAGTCTCCCCTCGATCATCAGGAAAGTGATGGAAGGTGTCAGTAACAGCGCTATCAAGCAGCACCTGCTCAGCAATAACCTGCTCAGTGACGCCCAATTTGGGTTCCGCCAGGGCCACTCAGCTCCTGACCTCATTCCAGCCTTGGTTCAAATATGGACAAAAGAGCTGAATTCCAGAGGTGAGGTGAGAGTCACAGCCCTAAACATCAAGGCTGCATTCAACCAAGTGTAGCATCAAGGTGCCCTAGCAAACAGGAATCAATGAGCATTGGGGGAAAACTCTCTGATGGTTGGAGTCATAGCTGGCACACAGCGTGATGGTTATGGTTGTAGGAGGTCAAGTATCTCAGCTCCAGGACATCTCTGCAGGAGTTCCTCAGGGCAGTGTCCTAGGCCCAACCATCTTCAGCTGCTTCATCAATGACCTTCCCTCCACCGTAAGGTCAGAAGTGGGGATGTTCGCCGATGATTGCACAATGTTCAGCACCATTCGTGACTCCTCAGATACTGAAGCAGTCCATGTTCAAATGCAACAAGATCTGGACAATATCCAGGCTTGGGCTGACAAGTTGCAAGTGACTTTCATGTCTCAAAAATGCCAGGCTATGACTATCACCAATAAGAGACAATCTAACCACTGTCACTTGACATTCAATGGTGTTGCCATCACTGAATCCCCCACTATCAACATCCTGGGGGTTACCATTGATCAGAAACTCAACTGGACTCACCACATTAACACAGGGGCTACAAGAGCAGGCCAGAAGCTGGGAATACTGTGACGAGTAACTCACCTCCTGACTCCCCAAAGCCTGTCCACCATCTACAAGGCACAAGTCAGGAGTGTGATGGAATACTCCCCACTTGCCTGGATGGGTGCAGCCCCAACAACACTCAAGAAGCTTGACACCATCCAGGACAAAGCAGGCCACTTAATTGGCACCACATCCACAAGCATCCACTCCCTCCACCACCGACGCTCAGTAGCAGCAGTGTGTACTATCTACAAGACGCACTGCAGAAATTCACCAAAGATCCACAGACAGCACTTTCCAAACCCACAACCACTTCCATCTAGAAGGACAAGGGCAGCAGATACATGGGAACACAATCCCCTCCAAGTTCCTTTCCAAGTCACTCATCATCCTGACTTGGAAATATATCTCCGTTCCTTCACTGTCGCTGGGTCAAAACTGGAATTCCCTCCCCAAGGGCATTGTGGGTCAATCCACAGCAGATGGATTGCAGCGGTTCAAGAAGGCAGCTCACCCCCACCTTCTCAAGGGGCAACTAGGGATGGGCAATAAATGCTGGGCCCAGTCAGCGACTCCTACATCCCACAGATGAATAGAAAACTATAACCTGGTGTCATGTGACTTTTGACTTTGTCTACCCCACATCATAGTAAAGTACATCGTGTGGTGGGTACAAGATGTCTATCCTGAAGGAACGGGGAAAACCCAGAGTGGGCTTGATTGATGTTCAAGCTGCATTGGTGGAGGATTCGTAACCTGTGACCTCACCGTTTAACCTAAATTTGGAACTGGCACTCAGGCGACAGAAAGGTTTATAACATTGTAAAAACAGAATGTAATACAGTGCCCCAAAATCACAGAAACCCCAATAACTGATGTGGAGGTGCTGGTGTTGGACTGGGGTAGACAAGGTCAGAAGTCACACGACATCAGGTTACAGTCCAACAGGTTTATTTGAAATCTCAAGCTTTTGGAGCACGGCTCCTTCATCAGTTCCATTCGTTAACCACTAACACCACTTTCCGCCCCCCTTCCCACGGCACCTTCCCATGTAACTGCAGCAAGTGCAACACTGGCCCCTTCACCTCCTCCCTGCTCACCATCCAAAGGCCTAAACAGTCTTTCCAGGTGAAGCAGCATTTCACCTGGACCTCCTCCAATCTCGTGTATTGTATTCGCTGCACCAAATGGGGCCAACTCTACGTTGGAGAAACCAAACGCAGACTGGGTGACTGCTTTGCAGAACACCTCCAGTCTGTGCGTGAGCAGGACCCTGATCTTCCTATAGCTGGTCATTTTAACACAGCGTCCTGCTCACATGCTGCAGTGTTCCAGTGAATCACAGCACTAACTGCAGCAACATCTCATCTTCAGACGATGCACTTTGCAGCCTTCTGGACTTAATATTGAGTTCAATACCTTCAAATTGTGAACTAACTCCCATTCCTTCCCTTTCTTTTAGCTTTACCTGTTACATTCTGTGTCACCACATTCTCCCTCCCCTCCCCCCATCACATTGGGACTGTCTGTTCTTTCAAGTCTGGCAGTTGGACACACCATTATTCTGCCATTCTCACATTCAGATCACTTATTCTGAGCTATCAACATTTTTCCCCCCCAGCACTCTACACCCCCCCACCCCCACAACCCCCCTCCAACTATAGCAAAAATGCTGCCCCCTCCACACTTCAGCTCTGATGAAGAGTCATCTAGACTCAAAACATTAGCTTGCTCTCTCTCCATGGATACTGCCTGACTCGCTATGATCTCCAGCATTTGTTGTTTTCAGTACAGATTCCAGCATCAGCTGTAATTTCCTCCAACAAATTTTACATTGTTTATTGATCGGCAAATACTGCAATTTCCTATCAATAGTCAAATCTATTGTAGAATCCCATAGTTTCATTTCTAGTAATGTTTCCTGTCCCATGTGATCATTCCTTTCCCCTTTTCTACCTACTTCACCTCTGGGATGTATTTTCATTGACTGCGTTTTAAGATAGAACTTGGCTTCATCTACAGATATGAGATGAATATTATTAAACACCTTACTAATCTGACTGTTGGAATTTTCAATTTTCTTTCCATTTCAATTTCTACATTTCAAGAACTACGTTCTGCGTTCATTTAGGTTGTGAAATTTATAGACCCTGTCTTAGTTTTATTAAATCTTTTCAAATAATACCCAATCGCTTTTGGTTTACCGTGGTTTAATATAAACAGTTGAGCTGCTGTTTGAGAATGGATATTGGAGAATTTTCCTCATAACGGGGAAGTGATGGGCTTCCGTTTAGAACATCTTTTCTTCCTGAGCCTAAAAATTCTCCACGTATAGAATGACATGTGTTATCCCTAATTTATTTCCCAGTGTTTCTCCCTCTTTTCTGCCTAGCAATCTGGATTTCATGTTTGCAACTGTTACTCTGTGATTTAAGTCTAAATTTCTGATTGACAAATTGCCTTTAGATATTATCATCAGTCTGTTTGCATTAATTATTACTTTGTTTTGGTCTCCATGCCATGTTCCCTGTTGTCGCTGGATTTGTGTCTTCTTCAGGTGATCCAGGTGAGCTATGCTAAGTGACTAAACAGCAATAGTTGCGTTGATTTAAGTACCTTCAACAATAATATAAAGCATCCAAGACACTTCACAGGAATGTTATTAGACAAAATTTGACACAGAGCAACATAAGGCCCAGGAGGGAAATTTTAAGGAATATCTTCAGGAGAAAGAGAAAATTAAGGGAGGACAGAGGTTTAAATATGAAATTCCAAAAATTAAGGACTGGTTAGGTGAAATCATGGCCATCAACAGTCAAAGAATTTAAAAAAGTTAATTTGCAAAAGTCCAGATTTGGAGGAGTGCTAGAGATCTTGGAGGGTTGCAGGGCTGGAGGTTACAGAGATAGAGAATAATGATGCCATGGGGAGATTTGAAAACAAGGATAAGAATGTTAAAGTGGAGGCATTGCTTAACCAACAGCCATTGTAGTCAGTGCGCAAAGGGTTGCTGGGGGAATACAACTTTTACTGCAAGTTAGGATACAGACAGCAGAGGTTTAGATAAACTCAAGTTTATAAAGCCTACAAAATAGGACAGGAGAGCATTGGAACAATCGAGTATAGGGTTAACAACAATATGCAAGAGGTATTCAGCAGGTATTCAATTTTACGTGGGCTATGTAGAGATAGAAGTAGGTAGGCAAGTAGGTTGTCTAGTTCAGCATCATACAATGACCAAGGAGAGGAATGCAGATGGTAGCTGTGGAACGGTTTATGACGTGGACTGAAGGCACTGGCTACAATTTTCCCAATATTTAGTTGGAGGAGATTTCTGCTCATTTAATCCTGGATGTCAACCTAGGGGGACGCAGTCAGTGTCTAGGGAGCAGGGATTGTGATACAGATGAAGACAGGAATGACCAGATAACTGAACAATAAAACAACATGGTTCTTACAGAGACGTGAGTCCCTGCTCTGTGCAACTTAATTTGTGAGAAATTTTAGTTATTTTCTTGGAATTCAAAATGAGTTTGAAATCAAATGGCTTTGCCCAGAGAGCTCACAGATACATTGTGAATGGAGCTTAATGTTTTCACACCTACCCAAGATTCCTTTCTATTGACTTTAAAGGAAAACACGTTTGGACAGATGTAATAACAGTGACTAACTTACCCAATCCTGTAGCTCTCTCGAAAGATACATTTGGTCAAAATTCTATTTTCTAAATGGAAACCATTCTGCACAAATTGAATGCATGAAGAATTCCATTGTTTTTACCCCCTCGTTTCTTTAATATTTGAAACCAGTGCTGCTTGGGTTTCTTGCTTTGCATTACATTCTTAAAATGTATGAATAAAGAACTAGGAGCAGGTGGAGGCCATTCAGCCCCTTGAGCCTGCTCCACCATTTAATACGATCATGGCTGATTTCATCTCAGCCTCAACTTTGCTTTCCTGCAGCTCTCCATAACCCTTCAACCTGTTACTAATTAAATATCTGTCTATCTCCTCCTTAAATTTACTCAATGTCCCAGCATCCATTGCACTCTGGGGGAGTGAATTCCACAGATACTTGAGAGAATTAATTTCTCCTCATCTCTGATTTAAATCTAATACACCTTGTCCTAAAACTATCACCTCTCATTCTCGATTGCCCCATGAGGAAACATCCTCTCTACCTCTACTTTGTAAATCCCCTTTACCATCTCATATACATTAATTAGATCTCCCTTCATTCTTTGTAGGTAGTATCTGTCTAAACAGCTTATTCTGTCTTCATAAGACAAACCCTCATCTCTGGAATCAACCTACTGCCTCTAATGCAACTGTATCCTTCCTCGAGTAATGGGACCTAAACTGTACTCAATGCTCCAAGTGCACTCTCACTAATGCCTTGTAGAGTTGCAGCAACACTTCCCTATGTTTATATTCTACTCCTTTAGCAATAAATGCTAAAATCCCATTTGCTTTCCTTCTTACCTGCTGTACCTGCATGCTGGCTTTCTGCGGTGCATGCAGAAGAACACCCAGATCCCTCTGCGCTGAAGTAGGTGTGAGGGACCATTTACTATTGGATTAGAAGTTTTAATTTTTTTTGGGCTCCTCGGGAAACTGCCTCTATAAACAAGTTACAGTTACAAATAATATGTTAATACATATCAAAATTTTACATGACATTTTAAATCAATTAATTAATGACTTATTTATCGGTTGGTGTTATAGGCCCACCTGGTCCAGTGATTAGAGACGTTGAAATGGATAAAAGTAATCTTAAAGGAGACCCAGGGCCCCCAGGACCCTCTGGCCTTCCAGGACCATCAGGATCAACTGGACCTACTGGCCCCTGTGGCCCTACAGGTAATGCATGAGAGTGGTTTACACCAGGTCAGGGTGTAGCCAAGGTACTACACAAGAGAAGATGTAATTTGTAATATCACATACCCATTTAAAGTTTTTTTTGAAGGATAGCAGGTGGATAAATCAAAGCTATAAGATTCTAGGGAAACTTCAAGCAGAACATGCAACCAAGAAGAATGGTTAAAACAAATAGGGTTTAAGATAGAAATCTCATGATATTACTACATAGAGATAACAAGTTATAGAGCTAATTTTCTGAAGAAGGGTCCAGACCCAAAACATCAGCTTTCCTGCTCCTCTGATGCTGCTTGGCCTGCTGTGTTTATCCAGCTCTACACCTTGTTATTTCATATTCTCCAGCATCGGCAGTTCCTACTATCTCCGAATCACATTACTACATGTTGTTTTCTTTCATTTGGACAAATCAAGTTTTAAGTTCATCTTGTGCCTTCATTTTGTGAAATGTACAGTGCTTATGGTACCATGTGCTTGACACTTTTGATCACTTTATTACTGGGGGCATAGTTTTGACCCTGAATATTACGCTGTTATCAAGACTTAATGATGGTCAACTATTTTAATCCTGAGCTATAATTCAGGGCAAGTAACAATTTCTAGGATCTGTGATCGATCCAGAAGTCCATCCCTTACTGAGGAAATCTCACCTCTTTTTAAAAACTAAACCCGTCACCAATCAAAATAATTAAACCAAGTAATACCCCATGCACAAATTACAAACACTGCCTACCAGGGACAGTGTAACACATAGAGTCATAGTCATAGAGTCATACAGCACTGAAACAGACCCTTCATAGAATCATAGAGTAATACAGTGTGGAAACAGGCCCTTCAGCCCAAACTGGCCTATGCTGACCATGGTGCCCACTTAGCTAGTCCCAATTGCCCACATTTGGTCCATATCCCCCTAAACCCCTTCCCATCCAGGTACCTATCCAAATGGTTTTTAAATGTTGGTATTGTACCTGCCTCAACCACTTTCTCTGGCAACCTATTCCATATATGTACCACTCTCTCTGCGTGAAGGTCCTTTTTAAATCTTTCCCCTCTCACCTGAAACCTATGCCCTCTAGTCTTCAATTCCCCATCCCTGGGAAAAAGACTATATGCATTCATCCTATCTATGCCCCTCATGATTTTATACACCTCAATAATGTCACCCCTCATTCTCCTATGTTCCAAGGAATAAAGTCCTATTCTGGCTAACCTCTCCCTACAACTCAGGCCTACTAGTCCTGGCAACGTCCTCATAAATCTTCATTGCACGCTTTCCAGTTTAACTATGTCTTTCCTATAAGAGGGTGACCAAAACTGTACATAATACTCCAAGTGTGGCCTCATCAACGACTTGTACAACTGTAACATAATGTCCCAACTCCTATACTCAATGCCTTGGCCAATGGAGGCCAGCATGCTAAATGCTTTCATCACCGCCCTGCCCACCTGTGACACCACTTTCAGCAAACTACGTACTTGTACTCCTAGGTCCCTCTGTTCCACAGCACTCCTCAGGACCTTACCATTTACTGTATAAGTCCTACTTTGGTTTGACTTTCCAAAGTGCAACACCTCACAATTATCTGAATTGAATTGCATTTGCCAATCCTCAGCCCACTTCCCCATCTGGTCAAGATCCCTCTGTAATTTTTGATAACCTTCCTCGCTATCAACAATGCCTCCTAATTTTATATCATCTGCAAACTTACTAACCATGCCTTGTACATTCACATCCAGATCATTTATGTAAATAACAAATAACAAATATCCCAACATCAACCCCTGTAGCACACCACTAGTCACAGACTCAACCTTCAACCGTCAGCCCCTGCTTCCAACCATCGAGCCAATTTTGAATCCAATTAGCTAGATCTCCCTGGATCCTATGCGACCTTAGCTTAATGATTAGCCTGCCATGCGAGACCTTGTCAAAGGCCTTACTAAAGTCCATACAGACAACATCCACTGCCCTACTCTCGTCCATCTTCTTGGTTACCTCTTCAAAAATCTCTAAAAGATTTGTCAGATATAACTTGGGTGGCACAGTGGCTCAGTGGTTAGCATTGCTGCCTCACAGCACCAGGGACTTGGGTTTGATTCCACCCTCAGGCGACTGTGTGGAGTTTGCACATTCTCCCCGTGTCAGCGGGTGCTCCGGTTTCCTCCCACAGTCTAAAGATGTGCAGGCTAGGTGGATTGGCCATGTTAAATTGCCCATAGTATTCAGGGATGTGTAGATTATGAGGGGATGGGTCTGGGTGGGATGCTCTGAGGGTCGTGTGGGTTTGTTGGGCCGAAGGGCCTGTTTCCACACCATAGGGATTCTATGTCTATGTCTATGTCAAATGACTTCCTGCACACTAATCCGAGCTGACTACCCCTAATCAGACCTTGACTATCTAAATATTGGTTGATCCTGTCCCTCAGTACCCTCTCCAATAACTTGCCTACCACTGATATCAGGCTCACTGGCCTGTAGTTCCCTGGCTTGTCTTTGCTACCTTTCTTAAACAATGGAACAACATTAGCCACCTTCCAGTCTTCTGGAACTTCACCAGTGGCTAAAGATGAAGCAAGAATCTCTACAATGGCCTCTGCAATTTCTTCGCTAGCCTCCCATAGTGTCCGAGGATGGACTTGATCAGGCCCAGGGAATTTAACCACCTTAGTGCAATCTAAGGCTGCAAACACCTCCTCTCTGGTAATATGTATGCGGTCCAAAATATCCCCACTTGTTTCCCCTATTTGCTTAGCATCCATGAATCTCTCCTTAGTAAACACTGAGGAGAAATATTCGTTAAAAGTCTCCCCCATCTCCAGTGGCTCCACACATAAACGGCCATGCTGATCTTTAAGGGGACCTATTCTCTCCCTAGCCACCCTCTTACTCTTAATATACCTCTTGGGATTATCTTTAACCTTATCTGCCAGATCCATCTCATACCTTTTTGCTCTTCTGAGTCTGGCAGTTCCAGACAAAAGATCCACCCACACCATTTGTATGATCTTTTGATCTCTCTGCCTACAAATTCTGTGTCTGTGTGCTTCTCTCTCACTTCACCTGATGAAGGGGCAATGCTCCAAAAGCTTCTGCTTTCAAATAAACCTGTTGGACTATAACCTGGGGTTGTGTGATTTCTGACCTTGTTCACCCTATCTATGTCCCTCATGATTTTAGACACCTCAATAAGGCCACCCTTCAGCCTCTGATGCTCCAGGGAAAATAGCCCCAGCCTATACAGCCTCTCCCTATAGCTCAAACGCTCCAACCCTGGCAACATCCTTGTAAATCTTTTCTGAACCCTTTCAAGTTAACAACATCCTTCCTATGACAGAGAGACCAGAACTGAACACAGTGTTCCAAAAGTGGCCTAACCAATATCCTGCACAGCTGCAACATGAACTCCCAACTTCTATACTCAATGCACTGACCAATAAAGACAAGTGTACCAAGTGCCTTCTTCAGTATCCTGTCTACCTGTGACTGCACTTTCAAGAAACTATGAACCTGCACTCCAAGGTCTCTTTGTTCAGCGACACTCCCCAAATGCTGCCAGATCTGTTGAGTTTCACCTGCAATTCAGTTTTTGATTCAGATTTCCAGCGTCCACAGTTCTTTGTTTTATTCTTTCTGTCAACCCTCTCTATGACCCTCATAATTTTATACATTTCGGTCATATTCCCCCTCAGTCTCCGGAGTCTGGAGCATCTAGTATTTTATAAAACCTCTCAAACTCAATGACATATTCTTCCATGAACTGATTGTTTTCTTATATTTATCTAATATTGACCATACCCCTTAGCCTTCCACCAAGTCACTACTTTTGTCCATAAATTGTATTGGAATTAGGAATCCTTCCTTGGTATCTAAGTCAGTTACATACAATTCTGCAATTACTTTGGGCTGAATTTGACCATGTTTTCACAAAGTGTTTCTGTCGAGTTTCATGAAGGGTATCTCTCCACAAAGCCTAGTGAATTATAGAGTCATTCAGTCCTACTGCACACAAACAGGCCCTTCAGCCCACTGTGTCTATGCTGTCCAATACACACCAAACCATTTACCTGCACTTGGTCCATAACCTACTATGCCCTGGCATTGTAAGTGCTCATCCAGATATTTCTTCAATGTTGTGAGAGTACCTGCCTCCACCACCGTCTCAAAGAGCATGTTCTGTTTTTCTGCCACCGTCTGGGTGAAAACATTTTTCCTCAAATCCCCTCTAAACCACTTACTCCTCACCTTCAACTTATCCCACAATATATTCTCTTCATGGTTTTCATTCAATATAAAGTGTGTGACAAGGATATGTTTGTGTCTTGTACAATGCAAACATGTACATTTGAACAAGCATACACAATAGGATGTGCATGAATATTCAAATTACACACAACATTTTAATTCAGTAAGTGTAGTTTTTATCCCTCTGATTTGCAATAAATTATGTTTTCTCTCTCAATAAACACTGATATGTCTGCAGTTTTCTTTTCAAGTCTAAAAAATAAGAAAGCAGATTTCAATTACTAATATCGATGAAGGATGTTTCAACAAGCCGTCGTTAACATATCACAATGTTCACGTTTCTGCACATCTACAGGACCCAAAGGCAGAAAGGGGGAGCCTGGAAGACCAGGGCCTGATGGTCCATCAGCTCCCCCTGGGCCTCGAGGAAACATTGGCCCACTTGGGCAACGGGGACTTATTGGAGACCAAGGTTAGGATAACGATTTCACAGTTCACTGTACATTGTTTCCAACAGCTAATCTAGGATCATTTTATAAAAGAAACATTGATTCTAAGAAATGCAAATTTAATTATTGCACTAAGAGCTGACTTTCTTGCCATAATTACTAAAATTCTGCTGAAACATTGCTTGATATCTTTTATTGGATGGGATTTGGCTCTGAAATTATTAAAGTCTGGGAAGGCAGGATGGAAGGTTTGTAATTAGACAGTGTAGGACATGGTGAAGAAGAGTGTGAAGAATTTGTGAAGAACCCAGTTCTGGGAAATTCTGCCCTTTTAATTCCTGTCTGGGACAGACCAGATGTGGGTGTTCCATGTGCTTTCTCTGCCAATGGACCATGCCCAGGAGGTGCCAAAACTGAATACGTATTCACAGATCACAAAGTTTCATGCTCCCAGGGACCATCTAGTCACACAACCTTTTCTCCCTCATCACTGGTATCTTTCTAATAAATAAAAATGTACAAAAAGTCCAACAGGGGCAATTTTTAATGCCCCATGATTATTCTGCAGAATATTTATTGTATAAACAAAGGTTAAGTGTCTACAGGTGGTGGAGGGAGGCAACTAATGAGATAATGATGTGTGCATACATTGAGAAACTTACTGACACTGGTGGTGCTTTACAGAGTTAGCAGCCGTGCATTTGCAATGTCTCTCTTTGTGAATAAATCCAAATTGAGTAAAGATTGACTTCAGAGTCAAAGTAAAGTTTGACTTAGATATAGTTAGAGTCATACATCTGTACAGCATGGAAACACAGTCTTCGGTCCAACTCGTCCATGCCGACCAAATATCCTAAATTAATCGAGTCCCATTTGCCAGCATTTGACCCATTTCCCTCTAAACCCTTCCTATTCATATACCCATCCTGATGCCTTTTAAACGTTGAAATGTTACCAGCCTCCACCACTTTCTCTGGCAGCTCATTCCATAGACTCACCACCCTTTGAGTGAGAAAGCTGCCCCTCAGGTCCCTTTTAAATGTTTCCTCTCTCACCTTAAACCTAAGACCTCTAGTTTTGGACTCCCCCACCCCAGGGAAAAGACCTTGATTATTAACCCTATTCATGCCCCTCATGATTTTATAAACCTCTATAAGGTTAACCCTCAGCCTCCGACGCTCCATGGAGAATAGCCCCAGCCTGTTCAGCCCCTCCCTATAGCTCAAACTCTCCAACCCTGGCAACATCCTTGTTAAATCTTTTCTTAACTCTTTCAAGTTTCACAACATCCTTCCTATGGCAGGGAAACCAGAATTGAACACAGTATTCCAAAAGTGGCCTAACCAATGTCCCGTACAGCCACAACATGACTTCCCAACTCCCATATTTAATACACTGACCAGTAAAGGCAAGTATACTAAATGCCTTCTTCACTGCCCTGTCTACCTGCGACTCCACTTTCAAGGAACTATGAACCTGCACTCGAAGGTCTCTTTGTTCAGCAACACTCCCCAGGACTTTACCATTAAGTGTATAAGTCCTGCCCTGATTTCCTTTTCCAAAATGCAGCACCTCACATTTATCTAAATTAAACTCCATCTGCCACTCCTCGGCCCATTGGCTCATCTGATCAAGGTCCCACTCTACTCTGAGGTAACCTTCTTGGATGTCCAGTAGACCTCCAATTTTGGTGCCATCTGCAAACTTACTAACCATACCTTCTATGCTCAAATCCAAATCATTTATATAAATGACAAAAAGCAGTGGATCCAGCACCGATCCTTGTGGCACACCGCTGGTTCTCAGGGCTGAAGGTGTCAAAGAATATGGGAAGAAAGCAGGAACAGGGTGCTGCATTAGGTGATTGGCCATGATCAGAGTGAATGATGGAGAAGGCTTGAAGGGGCCAAGTGGCATACTCCTGTTTCTATTTCCTATGTTTCTTTGTTTCCAATGACCTCCTTCACCTACAGGCTACAAGATACTTAACATCAAGGTGCTCATGGCAATGTTCAAATGATTAATCTTTCATTCTTTAAAGCTCTGAAGCCTTGGTAACCACAGGTATGCCATAGGAGGCCACAAACTTCCCTGAGACCCACATACATTCCAGCTTAAAAAAGACCTAGATCTGCAGAGAGCTGGCATAAGGACTGTTGCCCCAGAGGCATCTGGGTCCTCAGCTGTTCTTGTGATGTTTGTGTTTTTATTTTTTTTCTTTGAACGCATCCATCTACTTAGTCATAAATCTGTCAGAGACCAAAGGAATGGCTGTTCTCCAGCCCAGGTGCCTGAAAGTTTCCCTGAGAGAAGTAAAGAAACTCACAGCACTTGTCCGTGAGGGGAGCAGACAAAAATGTTGCAGAGACTCAACATTTGTGAAAAGAGAGATACACTTAATGTTTCAAGTCCAGTGACCCTTCTTTGAGAGGGGTCTTAGGTCCTTGTGTAAATATGACTGGTGTCACCATGTGATCAGCTGCTAGTTCAAGGCAGATGTCCCTGATACCTTCATGCTGGCAATGTAAATTCCTCCATTCCTGGGGTTGGCATCAACCATGAATACTATGGATAGATAAGGGTTGTGCTCCAACAAATGCTGACCCTTATGACTTACAGTCTGTATCTATGTAATTAGGTCCATTTGAATAGATGCCATCAAGGTCTTGTTTATAAATTTAAGGTTGGAAATAGATTGTCTGCATCTAACATCTTTAATTTCCAGTTCATTTTCCACTTCCAAGGAGTCCCAAAAACACAGCAACCCCACAGAATGAAAATAGAAAGTGCTGGACATTTTCAGCAAGTCCAGCAGTATCTGTCGGGGAGAGAGAAACACTGTTATGTTTCTACATAGGAACAGCAGCATTCAGTCCCTTGAGCCTGTTCCACCATTCAATTCAATCTGGCTGATCATGTGATCTAATTCCATAGACCTGCTTTTGACCCATATCTCTAAATACCATTCGCTAACAAAAATGTATCTATTTCACATTTAAAATTATCAACTGATCCAACATCCACTGCTGGTTGTGGAAGACAGTTCCAAACATTTGCCACTCTGTTTGTATAGAAGTGCTTCCTAATAACTTAATAATCTTTCAAAACAAATTAGAAATGAAATTTGAGCAAGTGCCAAGGGAGAGAGTGGGAGGAAGAACAAAAGGACTAGTCTGTGATAAGGTGAAGGGAAAGATAGAGAAAATGACAAAAAGCTTCAAGGTCAGAGGGAATAGTAACAGAACACATAAGGAAACAGAAGATGTATCTAGGTGAGGTGTGAATAGCAGACAATCTGCTGTCCAAACCCAAAGTAAAGGGATTAAGAACCAAGACAGCAAAATCATGAAAAAATGGAGACAGAGGTTATGTTTTGAAATTGCTGAACTCAACAGTGAGTTTGAAAGATAAAAAGTGCCCAGTCAAAAGATGAGCTTTATTCCTGGAGCATGTGATTAACTTCATTGGAACAGAGTAATAGACTAGGGACAAAGAGGTCTGAGTAGGAATAAAGTGCCAAATTTAAATGATTGGAAAGTTGGATTATCTGGCATTCTGGAAGTATTCCACAACATGGTTACCCGATCTGCTGGTCTGCTCCGTGTAGAGGAGACCGCATCATTGGCACTGAATACATTCAAATTATCAGACCACAGGATTGCTCTCTCACTACAGAGAGATGGCTGGTGGGGGTTTAATCTGAGGGTCACCGTGTCTCAGGCAAGGGGAGAGATGGAGAAGGAGAGTCCTTCATGGTAACCTCAGCTGGTGTGGGAATCGAGCCCACACTGTCAACATCACATTGCTTCGCAAAACAACTGCCCATCCAACTGAACTAAACCAACCCCCAATGAATACAGTATCCTAAATTGAAAGAGGTACAAGTAACGTATTGCTTAAAAGGAATATATGCAGCCTTGTAGAGGGAGCAGGTAGTGCATCTCCTGTGCTTGCATGGAAAGGTGTTGAAGGAAGTGGCAGAGATGTTGGGGTGACTGAGCAGTGAACCACAGTGTTATATAATGCCTTTAAAATGCTGAAAGAGAATGGAAATATGAGTTTGGTGGTGGCATCGTTTTGGACGTATTGGAAATAGCAGTAGCTGATCCATTGCATACAGAGGCTGGTGAGGTATAAGGTGAGGACCAGCAGAACCTTATCATGGATTAGGATCTGGGATGGAGGGGTTGGGTGGAAATGGGTTGAAAGCAGAGGTATGTGAAGTAGAATGGACCTGGCCAAGGGCTCATCAAATAGAGTTGGAGGGAATCCTCAGTTGACGGAAAAGGCAGACATGCTAATGTGGGAGGTTCTGCCATCTAAACAAATGTGACAGAGAAGGATACAATGGGACAACAGAATAGTTTGGAAAGGAGTGGGCTGTGAGGAAGTGTACCAAACTATCTATGTGAGCCAGTGGCTTATAATGAATATTAGTTGAGAACCTATCCCCAGAAATGGTAGCAGATAAGTCAAAGAAAGAAAGAAAAGGCCAGTGAAGGAGAGGGGTGAAGGTGGAAATTGGAAGCAAACCTGGAGCCAGCAGGAAATGACATCATTACAGTCATCAATGTACTTGGGAAAGAGAAGAGGAAGACTTCCTAATTAGAAACGTGGGAACACAATCCCTCTCCATCTCTATTCCTACCAGGATGGCGAACATCTGTCAACTTCTTTACTGAGTGGAGACTGAACCAGTCCTATTCACCATCAGCTTCCTCTGTCTCTCATCATGACTGAGCTCTCCATTGACATCCTCCTGCACAGGTTCTACTTGTGCCTGTACTGATATGGGAGGTGTTGAATGTTCTTTCTTTCAGTCCCTCATGGGTTTTAAATACACAATAAAAAATTTCAGAGACTCCTTCCTCTGATCTGATTCCACATGGACATAGATGGGGAAAAGTACAACAATGGTGAAGACATCTGCCAAATTGTGGCTGAACACTTGCAGTGTCATAGTATTCAAGGCCTAGTGCATGGAGGTGGGACTAGTGTAGGTAGTAATATATTTTTGGTGGTACAGATTTGATGGGTTGAAGGGCCTCTTCTGTCTTGCATGATTCTACAATTGTGCTAGGTATCATTTAAACACTTCTACATAAATCTGAAATGTTAGTCAGGTTACAGCATGAGATAGATCTAATGTTTCAACTTGCTAAATATGGAAGAACAAACAACAAGAATCTCAATTTGATCTGAGGTGTAGTGAGTATCTGGTTAACCTCATTGCCAGTCATCTGTCTAAAGAGAGAACCGCCTATAGTGACCTTCACTTTCACTGCCGTGGAAGAATGCTGAATGATAATTCTGAAGGTTGTTGAGATAGGGTCTGTTCTCCCAGCTCTGCGTATCCTCCAGGTCATTCATTCATTCAGTTGGAGTCCTGAACAAATGGAGCTCCTGAATTGGCTGTACAATGTCTCTTAAACCGTTACAATAACAGCATAATTTACCAATATTGCTTCTTCTGATAACATCTGTTATCAAAGAACATGAAATTACAGAGGGATCCCCTCAAAAGCAGTTCATCAAATCAGAGAATTGTACAGTTCATAAGAGACCCTTTGGCCCATTGACTTTGTGCCAACCTATCTACATTAGTCCCACCTTCCTGCACTAGGCCCATAGCCTTTAATGTTATGACCCTTCCAGTGCTCATCCAAGTACATTTTAAATGTTGTGAGGTTTCCACCTCAACTGCCCTCCCAGGCAGTGCATTCCAGACCCCCCACCACCCTCTGGGAGAAATATGTTTTCCTCAAATCCCCTCTAAACATTTTGTGTTGTTGTTTAAAATTATGCCCCTTTGTTATTGACCCTTTAACTAAAGGGAACTTCAGCTGCTTTCTATCCAACCTCTCCATGTCCCATAATAATTCAAAACCTAAAACAATATAAACATGAGCCCAACAAGTCATCTGGTTCACTAATGTCCTTAGGGAAGGAAACTGCCATCCTCACATGGTCTGGCCTACATGTGACTCCAGACCCACAGCATTGTGGTTGATTCTTAAATGCCCTCTGGGCAATTAGAGATGGGAGTAAATGCTGGCCTAGACAGTGACATCCATATTCCATGAGTGAATAAAACAAAATTGAGTTTCGATCAGTTTGGGCACTGGCCTGTGTACATTGTTTAAAGCTGCTGTGAAATGTTATTCTTTCATTTAGGCCCTCCTGGGAAACCAGGCCCACCAGGAAATCAAGGAATATGTCTTCCATTCTCGGCTGGGTTCTTGATTGTGGTTCACAGTCAGTCACAGGAGGTACCCACATGTCCTCAAAACATGCCTCGTCTTTGGCAAGGATATAGTTTGATTTATCTGAAGGGCCAAGAAAAATCTCATAATCAAGATCTTGGTAAGTACAGACAATGTGCAACCTGTGATAAAGGACACAACCTACTACCTTGTCATGTTTTCATATTTGGCTCTTACCATTCCTCAAAGATTCCCAGAATAAAGGATGTTTCTAAAATGCTTTCTGAACATGCAGCATGAAAGTACAAGCTGAGAATGCCTTCCACTAATGCTGTAAATCCTCAGAAATAACTTGTTTACTGCTGTAGGTCATCATTGTTGGGAGAAGGGTCATCTGAAGCACAAGCCACTGAAATGGTGTAGGCAGTTTAATATAAAAGCAGGCAGTTTAATTGTTAATCAAATCCATAATCATTCTCCAGGCAGCCATTTTTGACCAAGATGTTGTATTGAACCATACACCAGCATTGCAGCTCAATCTTGGGCACCTTAAAAGCTGCTTAGCCTGGAAAGTATATACAGTAAACATCGCCCTGTTCATTATTCATTATCATGTGATTTTAATGAGCGATTTCTCCGATGGAAAGAACGCATAGGTTCACTAGATGATGAAGGAATGTTCACACCACCCAGCTCTCTCTCTCAATCCCTCTCTAGCCTCTGTGCTGTCTATGCTGCTTTCTTAATATCCAGGTTTGATGAGCTGCAACTCCTTACAGTTAAAGACTAAGAAAACACTCTTGAACGACTTGCATTTGTGTAGCACCTTTCATGACCGCAGGCTGTCCCAAAGTATTTTGTTACCAATTATGTGCTAAGTATAGTCAATGTTGTAATATATAGAAAACTAGTACTGTTGTCTGGTGGTTCACATCACAATCTCCACCTCCTTCTCCAGCTGGTGTCACAGGCTAAGCTTGACCTTTGCAGACTTAACACTCCCTTTGATCCTGTCTACTACTGCTTTCACCACATTATATTTCCTGCCTCTGTCTCTATTTCCATACTTTCAGACTAAATCATTCAATATTTTCCTGACCAACATTTAAACCTACACTTCAGTAAACTTTAGCACATCCAAACCTTCACTCTCTGTGAGCTATTTCTCATCAACATCCACTTCCCTGTCACCACTGTTCTAGTTAACTATTTCTTCATTTATCCAATGACTTAAATTCAAAATTCCCATCCTTATGTTTAAATCTCTGCATGGTCTTGCTCCTCTTTACTAGAATATTCCACACACCCCGCCTTCACCAATTCCACCAAGTAGCTGAATAATAAGGGATATTTATTCAGTATAATGTGCTTTCTGTATTAGCAATATTATGACAAACATTTTCCCATGTGCTTGTGGTTGTGCTCAATGTGAATGAACCCATTGCAAGAGAAGGCTGTGGAGGCCAAGTCATTGAGTGTATTTAAGACAGAGATGGACAGGTTCTTGATTAGTAAGAGGATCCAGGGTTACAGGGAGAAGGCAGGTAGGACTGAGAAACATATCAGCCATGATTGAATGGCAGAGCAGAATCGATGGGGTGAATGGCTCAATTCTGCTCCTATATCTTATTGTCTAATTAATAAATTGAGAAATAATATGTGAATGCCTGCGTTAGATAGTCCACAAGATAATTCATATGAATCGATGGTTACCTGTAGAGTATTTTGTTTAAACCTTGCACCAGTATTGCAATGAGAACTGATGCAGCAGATTTAGAATTCACCGGATTTACAACTGCACCAGAATAGGGCAACAGGTGATTTATCTTTAACATCTGGCCCAGCAAGTGATTTCACAACGTAAACTTTCTGATGTTAGATTTAAGTTCCCTACAAGTTTACTCGTTCCTTAAACCTTGTAATTTCCTCATTTAGATACTGTTCATGAGACAATGCCTTGTGCAATTGCCACAATGAATCCTGACGGTGGCTAAAGGCAGGTTATCAACTCAGGAACACCTCAAACCAAACCCCAATCCATGCTCACCCAGTGTCCCCAGAGGAGCATTTCAGCCTGAACCCCTTTTCTTGTTCTGAGACTGGGGAACTGCAATTCAGTGGAGTTCTCCTTCTACTGTCCCTTTAACTAGGCACAGAGTATGGATTGAACTCCAGTAGCTACTCCTTTAATTTTGTGGTATTGCTACTCCTTTAGAGTAAGGTGGCTACCATTTGGCAAGAAAGCTTCCTCATGGCTCACTGTATGGAAAGTGGAGGACTCTGTGCAAAAGTATAATTGTTGTATTTGATGTGCAATTGGAAAACTGGCCGCATTTGTGTTTTGACAGCAGCTCAACTAAAAGGAGGATATTTCACTATGTTACTTCTGAATGCAATGTCAGATCATTATTGCTAACTATTCCTGCAATCTTGCTGTTCTCCCAGGTCTAGCTGGCTCTTGTCTGCCAATGTTCAGTACTATGCCATTTGCATATTGCAGCATTGATGAAGTTTGTCACTACGCTACTAGAAATGACAAATCCTATTGGCTGTCTACCACCGCCCCTATCCCCGTGATGCCACTTGTCGAACGAGAGGTCGAACCTTACATCAGCAGATGCTCTGTCTGTGAAGCTCCTTCAGCTGCTGTGGCTATACACAGCCAGGACCAGACCATTCCCTCCTGCCCTTCAGGGTGGCTCAGCCTTTGGACTGGATACTCATTTCTGATGGTAAGCTGCTTTTTAATGTGTTTTTTTTTAAATAAAATCACATATACATCGTTCTAAAGCCAAAAAATTAGCTTAAGTTTATCATGTGTTGAATGATCTATATAATATGATTAATTATCAATGGGCCATAGAGTAAAATGTAACTGTCTTGTTAAATAATGATCTGTCATTCCCATTACAATGCTGCAGAGTCATAGAGTCAAACAGAAACAGACCCTTTGGTCCAACTAGTCCATGTTGACCAGGTTTCCCAAACTAAACTAGTCCCATTTGTCTGCATTTGGCCAATTTCACTTTAAACCTTTCCTGTTCACGTACCTGTCCAAATGTCTTTTAATTGTTGTAACTGTACCTGCATCTACCACTTCCTCTGGCAGTTCATTCCACGTAAAAAGTTGCCCCTCTGGTCTCTTTTAAAACTTTTAAGTGACGGAGTTGTTCATGAGCATTTGTCAAATAGTGATACAACATGATTGAGTTTCATGTAGCTTATGTAAGAGAGAAGCAAAATTTGGAAACTAGAATTTTGGAGTTAAGTAAGGCAGAGAGTGTCCACAGTAAACTGGGAAGCTCTACTAATAGGAAAAACAACTGAGGAACAGTGCAGAGTGTTCAAAGAAACATTTAATGCTCGTTAGAAGCTGTTTGTACCCATGAGAAGGAAAAGCTCCATCTCACAAAAAAAATCCATGGACCTCTAAGGAGGTAAAGGACAGCATAAAATTAAAAGAATGGGCTTGTAAAAATTTGAGTTTGAGTTTGATTTATTGTCATGTATACTGCGATACAGTGAAAAGTGTTGCTTTGCATGCTTTGCATGCAGATCACATCATACAAACTGCCTCAGGGTAGCAGAACAGAGTGCAGAATACAGTGTTACAGCCGCAGAGAAGGTGCAGAGAGAGGGATCAGAAATAACATTTGAGAGGTCCGTACAAAAGTTTGATAAAAGAGGGGAAGAAGCTGTTATTGAATCTGTTCATACATGCATTCAAACTTTTATATCTTCTGCCTGACGGAAGAGGGTGGAAGAGAATATAACCAGGGTGGGAGGGGTCTTTGGTAGACAAACAGAAGGCTGGAAGAACACAGCAAGCCAGGCAGCATCTGGATCAATGTTTCGGGTATTACCCTTCTTCAGGACTGGATGTGTGGGAAGGGGGAGCTGCAGATAAAGACGGGGAGGGGGAAGAGGTGGAGGCAGAATGGTGGTGATAGGTGGACAGTGGTAGTAGGTACAACCTGATTTGTCGATGGGAGGGATGAATCTGGTTGGTGGCTGGAAGAGAGGGTTTGAAGGTGGAATGGAAGGGAAGAGGTGGGGCTGGAAAGGGAGGCGGGGGATAGGTGGGAACAGTGTCTAAATAACATTAGCTTAAATAAATAATCAATAATGGGGAAGTTAATGAACTGAAGAGTGACAAACCCCCCAGGACCTGATGGACCTGTGTTATGGAGGTAGGAGAGCACATTACTGAGGCCGTAACTAAAATTTTTCAAGGTTCACAAACAAGAACTGCTGGAAAAGTTTAGCAGGTCTGGCAGCATCTATGGAGAGAAATCAGACCTAACGTTTTGGTTCAAGTGACCCTTCCTTAGAACTGACTGTAGCTAGGAAGAAGTTGGTTTTTAAGTGGAAGATAGGTGCATCTACAGAATATAAACCAATCTTTTCTGAGATACCATCATGAAGGGTAGGCCATGCCTGACAAACCTCATAGAGTTAGTAGGAACTGCCGATGCTGGAGAATCTGAGATAACAAGGTGTAGAGCTGGATGAACACAGCAGGCCAAGCAGCATCAGAGGAGCAGGAAAGCTGACGTTTTGGGCCTAGAAGGGCCTAGGCCCGAAAGATCAGCCTTCCTGCTCCTCTGATGCTGCTCAGCCCGCTGTGTTCATCCAGCTCTACACCTTGTTATTCTCAAACCTCATAGAGTTTTGTCTTTAAAGTGATGACAAAGGTGGTGGACAGTGGTAAGTTGGTGGATGTTGTTTATGTGGACATCCCGAAGGCTTTTGATAAAACAACACATAAGAGAGTGTTATTGAGATTGACGCCCATGGAATTGAGGGCAAATTAAACACATGGATAGGAAGTTAGTGGAGCAGCAGGAAACAGAGCTGGAATATTGGGTAAGGACTCAAAGTGAGAGGACATGACTAGTGGTGTCCAGCTGGGATCTGCATTGGGGCTTCAATTATTCACAATATTCATTAATGACTTGGATAATGGCATAAAAAGTCAAATATCTAAATTTGCTGATGACACAAAATTGAACAGCATTATAAACTGTTGACAACAGCATAAAATTACAACAGGATATGGATAGTTTAGGTGAATGGGCAAAGGTGTGGTAGATTGATTTTAATATTAACAAGTGTGAGGTTATCCATTTCAGATCGAGAAAAGATAAATTAGTGTATTTTCTTATAAGGCACAAAGTTAAAAACAGTGAATGTCCAATGAGATTGGGGTTCAGGTACATAGCACTTTCAAACGCCACAAATAGGTGCAGAATATTGTCAAGAAGGCTAGTAGAATGCTGACCTTCATATCACTGTTTTCACCCCCAATCCCCCATCCCTTGTGCTATTCCTCACTCTTTCCCCCACCATTGTGTTACTCCTCACTTGCCCCCTCATGTTGCTTTTCCTCAATCTTGCTCCCAATCCCCCCAACTTTGTGCAATTCCTTGCTTTTTCCCACATCGAATTTAACAATTTCTAAAACCAGCCTTCATAGTGAGAGGATTTGAGTATCGGAGTAAGGATGTCTTGCTGCAGTAATACAGGGCCTTGGTGAGGCCACACCCTTGAGTATTGTGTGCAGCATTGGTCTCCTAGTCTGAGGAAGGACATTCTTGCTATTCAGGGAGTTCAGTAAAGGTTCACCAGACTGATTCCCGGGATGGCAGGACTGACATATGAAGAAAGACTGGATCGACTGGGCTTGTACACACTGGACTTTAGAAGAATCAGGGGGATCTCATAGAAACATTAAAAAAAATCCTGATGGAACTGCACAGACTAGATGCGAGAAGAATGTTCCTGATGTTGGGGAAAGTCCGGAACTGGGGCTCACTGTCTAAGAATAAGGGGTAAGCCGTTAGGACTGAGATGAGGAAGAATTTCTTCACTCAGAGAGTTGTGAACTTGTGGAATTCTCTCCCACAGAAAGCTGTTGGGGCCAGTTTGTTAGGTATGATCAAGCTGGACTTAGCCCTTGCTGGACTTGGCCCTTGCTGCTAAAGGGATCAAGGGGTACGGAAAGAGGGTGGGAGTGGGAGTGGGATACTGAGATTACATGAGTAGCCATAACCATATTGAATGGTGGTGCAGGCTCGAAGGGCTGAATGACCTACTCCTGCACCTGTTGTCTGTGTTCCTATGTTTCTGTAATCAATTAGCATCATGACCCCATTGCCATTTTGGGGTCTATCGAATTTATATCCACTTTTGCTAATCCCTTTTGTTCTTAGTTAAAGTGTGGTGCATAGCATGGAAGTTTAGTATTGTAAACTATAAAATAAAACTAGGAAGGTTATAGGTTTAACTTGCAGTTCTGAACATTGTGCCTTACAATCTTGTTACAGCACACAGGAGCTGGTGCCACAGGAGGAGGTCAGACTCTAGCATCACCTGGGAGTTGTCTGGAGGATTTCCGCTCGACACCATTCATTGAGTGCCAGGGGGCTCGGGGCACCTGCCATTACTTTACTGATAAATATAGCTTCTGGCTGACAACTGTGCAACCAAGCCTCCAGTTTAAATTAAATACTCCTTCAGAAACTCTGCAAGTAGAGCAATTACAAAGACAACGAGTCAGTAGGTGTCAGGTTTGCCTGAAACAATAAATCATTTTACCTGCATTGAAACTCTACAAGGAATGCATACGGTAAGACTTTTCAATTAAAGGAAGACAACAATGCAGGCCCAATGGCTTATGGTGCTCATTTAATTTCTCTCTCTAAGCAGATCTTCAATTTCAACCGTTTAGAAAAAGTATATCAGGAGAATGTAAAATGTACACTGGTATGAGCATGCTTACAATAATCAATATATTCAAAAGTTAAATGTAAGGAAGTTCGATTTTATATGAAATGTACAGCAACTTAATTGAAATTGTCGGTGCAATTTAACTTATGGATCTGTAAAATTATTTTTTAAAAGCTGAAATATTTTTGTCACCTGGTCTTAGAAAGAAGTTGTAAAATTAAGGGGATGATAAACCACTCGTTCATAGTCAGAGCATTTTAAAGTGGTCTGTAAAAAAGAACTATGTTATTGTAACTAGCAAACTCCATATCAATAACTCAGACATGTTCCGAGCAGGGGTCGTGCAAAAGCATCTGAAATCTGGAAGGGGTTTCAGCGTATTGGATTGTGACATTTCAACAGGTGCAACCTCACTGTGACATCACTTTTCGGTTTGATACAGTGAGCCAGTGGGTGTGCCACAGACTGGTTTCAGTACAGAGTAAGAGTAAAGAGGACTGTAACACTCTTCTTCAGCAACAGGAGGAAGAAACGCACTACTGAGTTGGAGAAAGGGTGTCTGGAGATGCCCAAGATATCAGCATTATGCCACGTTTCAATACAGAGTGTTCATTGACTTAATCAGCTCAGGAAAGGTGAGTTCAAATGCATATTCATCAACATCCAGACGCACACATTGTCTTCCCCAGCCCCAGCTTTACTTTGTCAAGCCTACTCCATTAGATGGAGCTTCACATTCACTTTGTTTATAGGTGCCCCTATTGTACAGCTCTTAACATCCCAGTTATCCATCCAGCACTGCCACCCATCCCGATTCTGATATGGATTTGATGCTACTCCCTGATATGCACCCTTATCGAATATACTGTACCTGCTTGTGAACCACCAGTCATTCATGCTCCCATTGAGCAAGAGAGCATGGAATACTATTGAAAAGGGAGTACTGGGATTTCCCAGTTGGCAGCAATGTAAATATAAAGCTGTTTTGATGTACTTTACCATAAAACATGGAGAAATTGGGACTTACAGTCAGAGAGATCTACAGCACTGAAAAAGACCCTTTGGCCTATTGTACCCTTCATATCAAAAACAACCACCTAACTATTTGAATCTTATTTCCCAGCACTTGGCCCATAGCCTTGTCTGCCTTGGCATTGCAAGTGGTCAGCTAAATACTTCCTAAATGTTCTGAGTTTGTGTCTCTCCCACCCTTACAGGCAGTGTGTTCCAGATTCCCACCACCCTGTGGATGAAAAAGGTTTTCCTCACGTCCCGTGTAAAACTCTGCCCCGACCTCATGTCCCCTCTTAGTCTCCTCTGTTTTAAGGAAAACAACCCCAGTCTGTCCAATCTCTCTTCATAACTGAAACTCTCCAGCCCAGGCAACGTCCTGGTAAATCTCCCTCTGCACTCTCTCCAGTGCAAACACATCCCTCCTATAATGTGGATTCTAGAACTGCAAACAACACTCTAACTGTGGCCTAACTAACATTTTACACAGTTCCAGCATCCCTTCCCTGCTCTTAGACTCTGTGCATCAGCTAATAAAGGAAATATCCCATATGCCTTCTTAACCACTTTATCCAGCTGTGCTACTACCTTAAGGGACCGGTGCACATAAACACTGAGGTCCCTCTGATCCTCAGTGCTTCCCATGGTCCTTACATTCATCATGTATTCCCTTGCCTTGTTTGTCCTGCCCAAGTGTTTATCTGGACTGAATTCTATTTGCCCTGATCAGCCCCATCAGACCAGTCTGTCTCTATCCTCCTGTAATCTAAGGCTATCTTGCTCACTTATTACCACAACACCATTTCTCCTATCATCTGTGAACTTAACTGATCAACCCTCTTGCATTCAAGTCTAAATCACTTACATAAACCATAAGCAGCAAGAGCCCCAACACTGACCCCACTGGACATAGACCCCCAGTCGGAAAAACGCCCCTCAACCATCACCCTCTGCTTTCTGCCACTCGACCAATTGTGGATGCAATCTGTGACATTCTCTTGGATCCCATGGGCTCTTACCTTCACTATCAGTCTCCCATGAGGGACCTTATTAAAAGCCTTGCTGAAGTCCAAGTAGGCTACATCAAAAACATTTCCCTCATCTACACACCTGGGCACCTCTTCGAAAACTTAAGTTGGTCAGACATGACCTCCTCTTCACAAAACCATGCTGACTGTTCTTGATTAATCCCTGCCTTTCCAAATGCAGATTAATTCTGTCCCTCAGAATTGCTGCAATAGTTTCCCCACCACTAGGATTAGACTGACTGGCCTGTAGTTTCCTGGTTTATTTCTTGCTCCCTTCTTGAATAACAGTGACTGCCGTCTAGTCCTCTGGTACCTTTCCTAGGTCAGAGAGGAATTAAAAATTATTGCCAATGCCTCTGGCCTGGGGTACATTTCATCCAATCTTGGAGATTTATCTAGTTTTAAACCTGTCAGACCACTCTGAACCTTCTCTCTGTCTATGCTAATTTCTTTAATTGTATCACAGACCCGCTCCCTAATTTCTATATCCACATCATCTCTCTCACTAGTGAACCCCAACACAGAGTATTCATTTAGAACCCTCCCTGCACTGTCTGGCTCCACAGACAAATTACCACTGTGGTCCTTAATGGGCCCTACTCTTGATCCCTAGTATCCTTTTATCCCCAATGTACTTAGGAGTTTCCTTTATTTTACCAGCCCTTATCCTTTCCTGCCTCCCTTTACTTTCCTAATTTCCTTTTAAGTTCCCTCTCACACATTCTATACCCCGCTAGGGCTTTTGCTGTTTTGAGCCCTCAGCCTCCCTTTTTGACTTTATCCAGTCCTGTTTATTCCTTGATTTTGAGGGTTCACAGGACTTGTTAGTCCTGTACTCTCCCAATTTCCTTCTTGAATGCATTCCACTGTTCTGAGACAGATTTACCTGAAAGTATCTGCTCCCAGTCCACTCTGGCCAAATTGTATCTGATCTTATTAAAATCGATCTTCCCCAGTTGAGAACTTTGATTTCAGGCCCATCCTTGTCCTTTTCCATTACAATTTTCAATCTAACAGAGTTATGATTCCTGTTGGCAAAATGATCCCTCACTGATACTTCACCCACTTGCCCAGTTTTGTTATCTAAAATTAACTCCAGGACTGCTGCCTCTCTTGTAGGGCCTTTTATGTATTGGCTTAAAAAGCTCTCTTGGATGAATTTTAAGAATTCCGCACCCTCTAAACTTTTCATACTATGACTACCCCAGTTAACTTTGGGGAAATTGAAATCCCATACTCATTGCCATATTACTTTTACACTTCTCAGCTGCCTGGTTACAGAATGAAAGATCAGTTAGCCACCCATCAGAAAAGCATTCAGTCACATTGTCTTGATTTCAGCACAGTGAAAATTGATCTTCCTCATAATGCTACGTGGCAACTCTCTTTACCTATCCAGCAGCAGAAGTGGAATTGTTTGACCGATGAGTCCTCATATAAGCTTTTTTAATTCATTCATGGGATGAGGGTGTTTTTGGCTATGTCCATGTTCATTGCCTATCCCTAAGTGTCACTGACACTGCTTTGGGTCTGGGCCAGGTGAGGACAGCAGTTTCCTTTACTGAACCAGCAGGGGTTTTCGCCTGTCAATTGACAACAGTTTTGTGGTCATCATTAGATTTTTAATTGACTTGAAATTCCACTTGGCAAGATTCGAAACCAGGTCCCCAGAACATTTATTGAGTTTCTGGATTATTAGATAATGATACCACTAGGCCATCATGTCCTTGGTATGAATATGAGCCCTGACAAACAATTCATTTGTCACTTGCCTTTGTATTTGTGAGCAGTGATTTGGGAGACCCTGCTCTGTTTTTGGCAGTATTTGGAGAGGATCAGGAGGCAGAGAAATGTTTGCTGGTGAAAATGGCCACTGGTTCCAGAAAACAGCTCTTTTTCGAGAGGACTGCACGTTTACACATAACTACATCTGCCACTGGAGTCGCAGCCTCTGATAAACATTTGCCCTTTTGAGAGGTCAAGGAAACTGAACTCTTGCTGTGCACCTGGTTCTGAGGGTATTGCCTCTCACTACCACTGTCCTACAATAGTTCCCCTCTTTGCTGAACCCCTGCAGCTCATCCCCCAGCCCCCTCCTGATCCATCCTGATCCTCCAAAAATTCAGAAACCTCCAAATTGCCCACAAATAAGCCTGTCAACACAAGGACTCTCAACAAATCCTTTCCCAGTACCAGGCATAAAAGCAGCTGCGAACATTGAAATAACACAAAGAGCTGTTGGTACTGGAGATCTGAAACAAAGTCAAAAGCTCAGCTTGTCTGGCAGCATCTGTGGTGAGAGAAACTGAGTTATTGATTGATTTCCAGTGACCCTTCATGAGCTTCAATAATTTTAGAATCTGAACATCCCCCTCCATGTACTTTCCCCGCCCCCCACACCCTGGTCCTGTCCTATAGAAGCTGCTTTCATCACAGTCAACCCATTTTCACCCACTCATGATCCCTGTTATCAGCTTTTCTCCTCCCTGGCTCACCATTATCCATCCCTTTATCTGTCCAACTTTGTTGCTCTCACTCTGGGCTCTTTCTCCACTCGCTCCTTTGCCTCCACCCCCTATCTTCTGGATATATGCCACTTTTTCCCTAGCTACTATCAGTTCTGAAGAAGGGTCCCTGGACTCAAAACATGAGCCCTGTGTTTCTCTCTCCGCAGATGCTGCCAGACCTACTGAGTTTCTGCAGCAATTTCTGTTTATGTTTGTGAGCATTGAATATTTATTGATGGCTGTCTGGCTGAGCTGTTAGAGTTACTGTGCATTCTTCATACCTTCATTTTAATGGTGAGCCTGGGGAATCTGTGCATGTCTTGTTAAATTTTATTGCTGGCGAAAATCTCATTTAAATTGTTTTGTTTAAATATTGCAAGCAGTAAAAGTTGAGAATTAGAAGCAGCTGCCACAGTCTTACCAGACCATAGGGCTACTCTCTCATTACGGAGAGATGAATGCTGGTGGTTTAACCTGATAGTCACCACATTTCAGGTGAGGGGAGATGCTGAGAAGGAGAGACTTTCATACTAACCTCAGTCAGTGCTGGAACTAATAGATGTTCAGCCAACTGAGCTAACCTGTTGCCTACAAGCAGGGACCTGGTTCTCTGTGGCTGGGTTATACATCAACATGAAAATATACCAGAGTTAAAGCCAGATGCCAACATGTCAGAACTGGTTTCTGGACACAAAGGCAATCTCATCAGATTTAACCCCACATGCTATTTACTGTCACAACTCCCTCTCTCAATCTGTGAAATGTTCCTGTCACTATATAACTGTGTAAATAGCAATAGATCTGGGAAAAAAGGTACATTCCGTGCACACTACGACAACAAACTTAGTGGAAGATGACGAAATTAATTTATTGGCCTTTTTCCTCACCCTACTTCATTGAAAGCAGCATTGCTGGGGTGGGTGGCACAGTGGCTCAGTGGTTAGCACTGCTGCTTCTCAGCGCCAGGGACCTGGGTTTGATTGCAACTGTCTGTGTGGAGTTTGCACATTCTCCCTCTGTTTGTGTGGGTTTCTGCCAGGTGCTCTGGTTTCCTCCCACAGTCCAAAGATGTGCAGGCTAGGTTGATTGACCATGCTAAATTGCCCATAGTGTTCAGGGATGCAGTTGGGTTAACCATGGGAAAAACAGAGATAGGGTGGGTTGCTGTTTGGAGAGTTGGTGTGGACCCATTGGGTCAAATGACCTGTTTCCACACTGTGGAGATTCTGTGGAAATAAGTATAGATTTAATTTATTTTGTGTTTATTATGCCAAAAATAAAAACTGAGGGGTATCCATTGTGTTGCCAGGGTATTTGTCAAGGAGTTATAGATGTTATATATGTCTCATGATACAATCTCTCCAACTAAATAGTGGAATAAGGTCTGGTGATGTGGTTGTAAATAGGACTAGATCCCTGCTCTTCACTTCTCCCTGCTAATGAAACAAGTCAGTGGATAATCATGGGCTGGGCAGCATAGAAATCAGGGAATTGTATTGTTGATATGGTCACTTTTATATTTAAGGCTACTCAGTATCAAAT